TGATAAAGCAGAAGATGTGATACACGATCAAAAGCTTTGGCAAAATCTAACAAAATGAGCAATGCAGCACAGTTGTCACTTAAAGCTTTGGTAATAATATCCATTACTTCAAGAAGATTTGTGACACACGATCTAGATTTGACAAAACCGTGTTGAGGGCAAGATAATAGATTATGCCTAACTAGGTGTTCAGTCATGACATCACGCATTATTTTCTCCATTACTTTTCCAATTGCTGAGGTGAGGGAAATAGGCCTGTAATTTCCAGGATCAGTACGCTGACCCTTTTTAAATATTGGCGTTATATTAGCCAGTTTCCAACCAGACGGTACTTGTCCAGAATCAAACGATTTGATAAACAGAGAGAGAGAGGCACACTGAATTCTTAAGAGCACATTTTTAGCACTCTAGGATGGATTCCATCATTACCAGTGCCTTTTGAAGAGTCAAGAGCAGATAAAAGGTTTTCAATATTGCAACAAATGAACAAGGAGCTAGAAACTGGTGAGCAAACTATTTCGGTTCTTTGAGGAAAATCAGGAGCTTCGGAGTGAGTTTCAGGTAATGGAAAAGCTTTAAAAAAGTGATTATTTAAGCAATTTGCAATAGACATATTATCTACTAATTGCACTCCATCGTGGTCAAAAAGAGATCGAATTTCACTTTTACAAGCCTTTTGGCTGTTTATATAAGAATAAAACTGTTTTGGACAGGACTTACAAGCGAAAATGACTTCACTCTCATACTTTAGTACAGCATCAGCAACAAGCTTTTTCACCAGACGATTTTGTTTGTTGTACAAGACTCGAGTACTATCTTTAAATTTGCTTGAAGAACAGCGTAATTTCATAAATAGTCTAAATTTTTCATTAGGTGCCGCTTTAATAGTAGAATTAAACCATTTTGGATCACGTTTTTTAAAATTAAAAGACATATTATATTTGGGAATGTGATGTTCAACCAATGAAATGTAAATGTTTTTAAATAATTCAAAGCTTTCATCTGCTGATTTATTTGTGAATAAGTTCGGCCAATTGATCGCTTTTAGGCCTTCACTAATGGCATTATAGTCACCTTTGTCATAGATATAATTAACTTTGTGATATCTGATTGATTTAGTCGATGTTTTAAGTTTAAAATCCCATAAGAGTGAATTGTGGAAATAGTTTTTCTGAGTACAACCAGGCGGAGGACCAATTTTAATATTATGAAAACGATCAAGGTCTTCAAACAGCACCAGGTCAAGTGTGTTATTGATTAATGTTGGTTTGGTGACAAACTGTGATAGGAAGCAATCATCTATAGTTTTTAAAAATATTTTACTAGACATTTTACCCTTTTTACATTTGACACCCAAATCACTCCATCTGATATCACTATAATTAAAACTACCAACATTGAGAACACTTGTAAATTTACCATCATCAATTAGAGCTCTAGCACGTTTGATTGACTTGTTGATTTGTAAATTAGACTCATATTTAGTGAACGGTTGATTCATATTTAGTGAACGGATAAATACAACCAATTAACAAAATGTCATTTCCAATTAAAATCTGACACCATATTTGCTCGCTAATTAGTTCATCACTGAACTCACATTCAAATGAATGTATGTCTTTTCTAATATAAATAGCCACGCCACCTTTACGAATTGTCCTGTTACGAAGATATACAGTGTAATTTTCAAGATTTGTTGAAGATGTGGCGGAGAACCATGTTTCAGTGACTACAACGATGTGTGGGTAATCCAGTGACGCAATTCTAGCTTGGAATTCATCCCATTTATTATCCAAAGATGTTGGATTAAGATAAAGACATTTGAGGTCAGATAAAGAATAGCTAGATATAAAAGATAGAGGACTGTAAGTGTTAAGATTTGGTGTTCTATTCTTTGCGCTCGATCCATTGAATTGTGCCAGATCGCACAGACCAAAATCCTTTTTTACCATCTCTTGTACCCCAATTGAGCTGCCTCCCTTGCAAATCCACAAAAGAATTTGGAAGAGCATTGTTTCTAATTCTACATTCAACAAGAAGTTTAGAGAGAGCAATTCTTTCATTTTCAGTTTGATCTGGTCGAACATAAACTTTTGTTAAACCAAACTTATTTTTTAGTTCCCTTGCATAAGCCAAAGCTGATTGACGTTTTTCATATTTTTTAAATTCAATTAAAACCAATGGAGGACGTGAAAACACAGAATTAAATTGATTTTCGATCTCACAAGAGATAGGAGTAGGAGGAAAGGCATTTTTCTTTTTAAGTCGTTTTTTGACTTTTACATCGTCAGAAGATACTTTAAGAATGGTAAGAATTTCATCAATCGCTTTATTATCATCATTCAAATTTACTGACTCAGTAAGACCACTTATAATCATATTATTTAGAATTCTATTTTTTTCGTTGTTTTCTTTTGAAACTTTGGCAAACAAAGCAGCATTTTTCTCTTTGGCAGCAAGGTCCTTTTCTTTACTTACAAAACCTGCCCAGACGTCAGCATTGTGAATATTATTTTGATAAGTGATATTTGCATTGTTATTATTTTTTTTTTATTTGTTGTTATAATTTCTATTGTATATATATATATATATATATATATATATATATATATATATATATATATATATATATATATATATATATATATATATATATATATATATATATATATATATATATATATATATTATATATATATATATATATAAATATATATATATATATATATATATATATATATATATATATATATATATATAATATATATATATATATATATATATATATATATATATATAAATATATACAATAGAAATATAGGTTTGCAATCTATCAAAGGACTATATAATTTCTTTAATAATAAGTATAATCTATTCACTTTAATAAAATTTCCCAGATGATAAAAAAAAGAAGAAACTAAGGAGAGTTTCCCATCGGTTTCTTCGGTAAATTGCCAATAACATTTTAACAAGTGATATAGTCGTTATTCATATGTTAACCAATTTTGGCTGCTGCCACTAATGGGCCATAAATAATTACCAAAACTGCAATTATTGAATGATTACATTACATAATGAAACAAATGATTAACTATATATGATTAAATTACACAATGATTACATTATATAATGATTATCTTATATAATGATATGAATGATTACATTATATAATGAAACAAATAAATGATTACCAAAACTGCAATTACCTGAAATGCCTATATTGATCCACTGAAATTTTTACTAAATACTAAAACTATAACTATTAATTTTCAAAACATTATTATAAAAAAATCATTTTTACAAATATTAAATCAATCCCATCTTTAAATATAATTTTCTTATTTTTATTTAAGTTGAATAAGTTTCTAAAAAATATATTTTATTAAATAATAAATATAAATATTGATTTTAGTTAACATTATTCATATTGAACTTTTAAAGAATGATAAAAGAGCAAAATTAATTACATCTATCGTCTAAAGGATAATTTTAGAAAATCATATAATAAAAGAGTAGGATAAGTCACTAAAAAACGTCTAATTAAAAAAATTAAACAAGTCATAACAGATATATAAGAGACAGGTAGACAGGTATATATATATATATTCATAAAGAACTTTTAAAAGTTGTTAATTAAAAATATTGAATTATATATAATATATTTTTCTTATTTTTATTTAAGTTGAATAAGTTTCTAAAAAATATATTTTAATTAATAATAAATATAAATATTGATTTTAGTTAACATTATTCATATTGAACTTTTAAAGAATGATAAAAGAGCAAAATTAATTACATCTATTGTTTAAAGGATACTTTTACTAAAGTTAAGTAATTAGTTATTAGCGAAGTTCAAACCTTGATATTGTAATACTTCAATAAGTTCATTAACTAATGTACTGGTACAATTACTTCGAATAATGTACTGGTCCAATTATTTCGAATGTAAAAGTTGTTAATTAAAGATATTGAATTATATATAATATATTTTTCTTATTTTTATTTAAGTTGAATAAGTTTCTAAAAAATATATTTTATTAAATAATAAATATAAATATTGATTTTAGTTAACATTATTCATATTGAACTTTTAAAGAATGATAAAAGAGCAAAATTAATTACATCTATCGTCTAAAGGATACTTTTAGAAAATCATATAATAAAAGAGTAGGATAAGTCACTAAAAATCGTCTAATTAAAAAAATTAAACAAGTCATAACAGATATATAAGAGACAGGTAGGTAGAAAATTTTCTTTAGTGTAAAGGAAGTTTTCTACCCTCTTGTCTGTTATATAACTGTTACGACTGGTTTAATTTTTTCAATTAGACTTATTTTTAGTGAAAACTTTTAAACTTCACTAATAACTAATTACTAAAGTTAAGTAATTAGTTGTTAGCGAAGTTCAAACCTTGATATTTTAATATTTCAATAAGTTCATTAACTAATGTACTGGTACAATTACTTCGAATAATGTACTGGTCTAATTATTTCGAATGTAAAAGTTGTTAATAAAAGATATTGAATTATATTAAACTATCAGCATGAACTCTCTGTCTTAATAATAGGTTTTCCTTTTGAAAAATATGACTATGCATGAGATTCTGCGATGATAAATTAATGTGTACGATTTAGATACAATTTTTTAAATATATGATAAATATATTTGGGCTGCTAATGTGTGTGTGCCTTTCTTTTTTTTAATTTTTCATAACAGATAATAGCTTTCATACCATTATTTTGGCAGTACTTATTTCATCGCTCAATATTGGGCGTTGCCCAGTTATGGTAATATTTTTTTTCTTCCGTATTCTCTATTAATGGCCGTCGCCAGAAAGCTGCTAATTTTTTATTTAATACTTTACTCAGTAGTGATTTCGAATTAAACGAATATGATGCAATTTGTTTTAAATCAATTACAACCACTTCTTCTCGGGATTTGAGCCGTAAATGTTGAATAAAAGGAATTAATTACTCTTACCACTATTTCTCGTGATACGATCTGTTTCAAAATAAACTACCAACACTTCTTATCCTGATTTACTCCGTAAGTGTTAAATTAAAAATGCCTTTCCAACCTTTTCTCTTTACATAACTTAAAGTTTTAATTTTTAACTTTGATTTTTTTAGTTAAAAATTAATAACATAAAGATGTCTGTTTATGTAAAAAGATGCTATTATATACATTTAAACACACTTAACACAACTAAAGGAAGTTATGA